CTCTGTTAAACCTTCTCTCTTGATTCGAGTGATTGCAGTATAGACTAATGATTGTAAATCTCAGTGATCTTTGAGACCTTTGAGTTGTGCTTTAGGAGCACTGCATGAGGTATTATTGGTGGTTGTTATTGCATGTTACACATGACAGCAAGAATGGTTTACTGCTGCTAGAAAGGAGAGAGAGCCATAAAATGAATTCAGGGTGGGGGCAGCTCTAAAATAATTTATATCCACAAAGAAAAGCTTGTAAAAGCTTTTTCCAGTATTTTAGGCGTTAGGCTCACAGCATCTGGGTAGCAATATGCATGGCCACACATGCACGCATGCACACATACACATGTGCAATATGTACACCCTCTGTGTGACAAGCACCAAAAAGCACTGTTTTAATTTGCCTGCACACTGCATCCTTTTCTGCAGGGAACAATTTGTTGTGATCATCATACAGCTTTATTTCAGTTCTTACTCTAGCTATGGAGGGAAACAAATTGCCATGTAGTCAATTGGGCCATTTTTGTGTTTCATCTGGATCACGTGTAGTGCGAGGACAGACTGTGATTTTTGTCCGTTTGTTTGGATGCTTTGGGATTTAAAAAAAAATATCAGTCTGTAGGTTGCTGGCAAATTGTTTGCTGCCCTTAGTCACTATTCATGAGTGTAGTTGTTGAGCTCTGTGATTGGTTACCAAAATCAGTGGCGCACAGACTTGCTTGGTGCAGAAGCCACATGAATTGCCAGTACTAACCAATGAACCACAACAGCATCCTTACATAAATTGTGGCAAACAGTTTCCACTTCAAAAGGAAGAGAGACCTACAGAGCTTGTAGAAGGATTGATAGAGATAGCTACCCCATGTTTTACATTATTCATGATTGCCAGAAAGGCAAACCTGTTGTGTGCTGTCAAGTACAAACACATAACACTACCACGCATGCCCATAACATAACATGCCCATAACATTTTTTCAAAGAGCCACTCGCAACTAAGCAGCTGGTATTGGAGTCCTAAGGTCCAGCAGGTTCTTCTGTTGTGTGTGTGATTTACCCTTTACAAGCAACAAATCTTTCTTCTCCTTCATTGGTTTGTGGTTGTTCACACACAAAGCTGGGTGAAAAGTGGGGAACAGTGAATGGATACAGAAATAAAATTCTATATGTGTGGCAGTTAAATGTCAATGAATCATTATTTGCATTGCTCTATTTTGTGCCATCCCTTGAGTGTAAAAAGGCAAGGGCTGTGTATAACTTCACCTGTCCAATTTCCAAAATAACTTGAATTCTATTTAGGGAAGAAGCTGTGAGAATGATGCATGCATCGTAGGACAGAGTTTGGCTCCTTATATTAATGTCTTGACTTCGAATTTACTTTGGACTAAATATTTCCCCCGATTGCAGTACCACATACATAAGGAAAGGGGAATACTGGTGGGGTTTGCTGTTCAGATCAGAATCAGTTTTGCCTGTATGCTGGAGAAGATGAGCCCTCAGGGAATTGTGTGTGTGTATGTGTATGTCCCTAGCCCTGTTGAAGGGTAGAAAGGATCCAGCTGCTTCTGTAAAACCAGTCCAGCTTCCTCATGTCAAGTCTTTTTGTCTTCATGACAGGCTTTCTGTGATGATGCCTCCGGACTGAAATTTAACCCAGTGCTGTATCCCAAGGTAAGGTTCAAGAGCGTAAAGTATTTTGGTGAAGAATGGCTGGCTAGTTTGACTTTCAAAACTGCTTGTGCAATTGCACACTTAATTTGTGTGCTTATTTTCATGTGCAAAATGGGAGGGTATATTAACTGGGAAGTTAGCTGCACAAATAATGGTGGGAAGTAACCTTTTTCCTTGGATTTCCCCTCTCCTCCTTGCAAAATTCTTAACTCCTGATGCAGCGCTGAGAGGAGTTTAATAAGGGTGAATGATAGGGAATATATATGATGCACTGTATCACGCACCCTTATTAATGGGTGTGACACTCGGGAAGAATAAAACACTGAACTTTTTCCCTGGCTTCAGTCATCTTACCTGAATCAAGATCACAAAAAATTAGTACCCTATGATATGACAGGTGTCAGTGTCCCCTTTTCACAAAGGGCTCCCTTATATGGACCACAGAAGCAAATGCTGTCTACGTCTGGCTGTGTATCTTTAAGGAAGTTTCTTCTGAACCATGTAGCTTTTAAGATTCTATTTTTAATTGGATAAATTGGTATACAATCTTGGAAATTCCCAAAATAGACAGATTACCATAATGAACCAATTCTGCGCACTATATGCCAGTTGTTTTGAACTTAGAATAATGCTGGTTCTATTTAAGTGAGGGCCGTGATATCACTGAGCTCCGTAGAAATTAGAGAAGAGACTGTTCCCCAATTTCTCTGTGTTTTAGGGTGAACAGCAGCTTGTAAATTGGTGTGTGTGGGGGGTGGTGGTCCTGCTTTCTAAAGTTTATGTCATTTAAAGTCAAACCATCCAAATCTCTTATGTAGTCAGTAGGTCATTTTTGGTAGGAGTCTGGCATTAATGCATACACACTGGACAGTTTAAAGAGCTTTGGTCACTACGACACGCCAGTCACGGCTATGCGCCCAAAGCAGTAGACCTGATAACTTGGAGATTAGCAGAGTTTGGGATTCCATGAAAAGCTCCATATTTCTAACCCCCACCCTTTTGAAAAGTTCATTGAGATTTTATTAAGATTCTCTGCTAATACGAGCCCACATTTGAGCAAACTGAGGGCCAGTTTTGTCTTTTGTGAGAAAATGATCTGGAACTCATGGGTTTCACCTGATATGTAAGGGATAAGTGAATCTAAGCTGGTCTCGCCCTAAAACATGTAGGGTTGCTTGAAGCTGAAGTGAAAACATAAATTCTTTGGTTTGAGAATCCCATCTCCCAAGGCTTGAAAGTATAGTAAATGGTCACATGAACCTCTCTGCAACAGTCGGGTTTAGTGATGACTCTGCAGCTCTAAAACAGCTTTAGTGATGATGCTGCAGCTCTAGAGATTTAAGGTGAAATTCTGAAATGTATTGGCTGAGGAGGCCCACAGAAACGCCCCCGAGACCCCAGCAGCAATAAAACACTTCACCCATTGTGCCTATCTGAGGATCCAATTCTGGTCACAAGCATGGGGGCAAATTTTTGGTTGCGCATGAGAGGAGGCGTGACCCCTGAAATGACTTAACAGTTATAAAAACGCCTGGGCAGGTAGTTTATTCTGCTTTGGGATGAAGCATTGTAGCAAGAGGCTTGGTGCTCCTACTATAAGAGAAGGCAGACTGGGTGAGAAGCAGCCTGTAGGTGTGGCAGGGGGCAATTAGGAACCACATGTCCTAAAGGGTCTGGGCTAGCAGTGTATAAGTCCGAGGTCGAGCTGAGCAGACAGTCTAGCCTGGAGAGCCTTGGAGGGAATTGCTCCTGAGCAGCAGGACTGTAGCAAGGCTCCTGATTAATACTGAGACACTGAGCTGGGGTAAGCAAGGCTAGTGGTTTAGGGACTGAGACTATAGTAGGGGTGGAGGTCTCAACTGGCCCAGAAGAGGGGATAGGGGCCAAGGCCAAGGAGCAGGGCCATAGCCAGGGTCTGGGGCCTGTAGCCCAGGAGGGGTAAGAACCTATAACTCAGCAGGTCTCAGCCATCCTAGGAGAAGGGTCAGGTCTCGGGAGTAGGGACCAAAGGTCGAGGAGGGGTACAACTGGAGACTGGCAGGGCCATGGAGCCCAGAGATCTCAACTGGTCTAGGATCAGGGCCAGGGAGGGTCAAAGGCTGAGGAGGGCCACAGCTGGAGACTGGCAGGGGCAGGGACACACAGCTCGGAGAAGGGCAGAGACAGGGTCAGGGCCAAGTGCCTCTAAGAGTTGGAAACAGGGTTAGGGACCCAGGGCCATGCCCAGGAGTAAACAAGACAGGTGAAGTGCTGAGGTGTGGGCAGGAGACAGCAGCCTGAGCCTAGGAGGGGCAGAAGATGCAGGCCTGAGCCAGTGAGTGATGATTGGTAATATCTGTGATGCTTGGGGGTGGCTAGAAGGGGGGATGAGGAGGCCGTAAAATTAGCTCTTCAGGCTATGAGTAGGGACACCTGAGCATAAGATCTGACTTGGGGAGCCCTGGCGTAGCCTCCCTTTTGAAAAAGTATAATTACAGCAAGGTGTGGCAGGAGAGTTGAAGGGGAATGGCCCCAAAGAAAGCAGAGGTGACAAGGGCTAAGGGGCTTCACAGCCACCCTAGGAAGGACCCTATTGCAAACATTTTATTGTGGCATAGCACATGAACCAAAAGATGATCATGAGCTATATGTTCAGCCCCACTTTTGCACAAAGTCTTGATGCTTCTGAGAACCCTCTATCTCAGTGCTATAACTCTTCAATTAATCATTTGAATCCTCCAGGGTCGATGACCACATCCTAACTGCAAGATGGTTGCAGGAACACAGGGATTATATTCATAATTGTTATGGCATAGTTTGTTCTGGACTTGAATTCTTCAAAGAGAGTAAAACAGGATAAGACTAAAGAAACCATTCCTGAATAGTAAATGGTTTGGAATTGTCCAACTTTTTTTACAATGAAGCCCCCATTGGCGGAAGCAGAATATCTGCAGATGCCATGCAGGGGATAAAATGAAAATATTTATTATAGCCAATTTGAATACATTCACATAACTAACCTAAGAGGGTCAGACTGATTCCACAGTGGCCATCAACCCCACTGAAGAGCAATAATGGTTGTTCTTCAACCATGTAAGGGTTCTTAAGGGTAGAGGAGTTAGAGAGCAAATTCTCATTTACTTGGGGTCACTGGAAAGTCACAGTCTAGATTAGGAGGTCCACATTAATATGGTTTTCCAAAGGTACAGTCTTTGCTCCACATGGAGCCTTGACAGAATTTGAACCTGAAGACTATCGGTACTAGTCGCCTAAGCCGCTTCTGCTTAGGCTAAAGGAATAACTCCACTAGCTGATAGATGAAGAGAGCTCTTACTATTTTAAGTCTCCCAACCATTACAGGGAGGAGAAACATAGACGTAGATCCTTATCTATGCCAAGTGAGATCTGCTGAGGGTCTGGCCCACCAACAGGCAGATTATATGGGTAGCTACCCTTTTCTAGGTTTAGGTGGTATAAAATATGAATAAGTGGGCTGCGTCAATCCACACACAGGCTCAGTTCAACTAGATAATTGCACTGCAGATTGAGAAATGGAGGGCATGTGGGGTGGGGTGGGCACATCCATAGGCAGAGTAGAATTGTCATGGCTCAGTAGAGCTGTGACAATTTATACCAGCTCAGTGTCTGCTCACAGATGGTGGGACAGGTATGAGATAGGCCAAATTAAGCACTTCAAAAGTGATGTGGCACCTGGATCTAGTTTGTTTCCTTGATCAAGACTTCAGAACTCTTGGATTGATGCAGTTGTGCTTCCAGAGAAACCTTTTATTGGGAAACAAAAGCCCATTCATAATTTTTATGAATCTCTTATGCTGGAGACACAGTACATTTATAAGGCACTTTTGCTACCTTTTGATGTGAACCAAGGGCAATATGATTTTATTCTGTCATTTTTTTATTATTCATAATGCTACTGACTAGTCATTTGGAAATTTGAGAATGTCTGTTGCATACTTTAATATGAAAAATGGCTTTGACAGCTGCTCTCCTATTAACTTACATTCATTTGAAATACATAAATGTATCTCTTTTAAATAAAGGTGTTCTAAATATGGCCATTAATGAGGTTCCCATGAGTGCTTTAGCCATAAGTAACTTCAAGCTGTGGGGAAGTTTTACCCTAACTCATTTAAAGACTGTGTGAGCTCTGGGTTCTCCACATCTTTTGTGTTTCGGGCACCATAGCTGGTGAGCATCAAAAGACTCTGCTGAAGTCAAGGTGGAGTCAACCTCAAAGGAGGCTGGCTGGGGAATGCATTTGAAACTATCCATTAAGAAACTGTGGGCACTGTTGAAATTTTGGCTTATAATTCTGTGGAAATTTCATTTTGGTTTTCCTTCCTGTACTAGTTGAACTGCATCTGTCTCTTCATGTTCACCTCCCCCATTGGTTTATTAGCTCCCAGATGTTCCAGGCTGTCAGTTTTCCCTGGCGTTGGCCTTGCTTACAGCTTCTTTTTATCCTTCTGCAGTCTGTATCCCATCCTATTCCTTTGAACCCACCCTTTATACACCTCTCTCCCTCCTTGGTCTTTTTCAGCAACACGCATTTCCAGGCCTTTTACTTCCATGGTCCCGAAATGGCCTTGTCTGTAAAACAGACTCAACTCCCTCCATTTCCTTTTTAAAGAAACTACTGGAAAAGACCTTAATTTGATGAAGCATTCTTCCTTCCTCCTGTACACCCTAGTTGTTCTTTTTATGTCTTCTTTGTCCTTTCTAGTGCCTTATGATTGTAAGCCATTTGGGGCAATAACTTCTAATCTGTCTGAGCCTGTCTTTCCACTGTACTGAGCCATGAACATGCACGGCACTTCATAAATGAGTAATAAGGATTTGGAGCTGTGTGTGGATGGAAGCCTGATCTACCCTGCCAATACAACCTTGCCATTTTGTTCAGGCGTGGTGCTTCTCAAAGACACTATCGTTTTTCCTGGTAATGCTTTGACTATGACGTACAGGTCAAAATCATTTCAACCTCTGTTTTATTCCAGGCATCTCAGATGATAGTGTCGTATGATGAACATGAAGTCAATAATACGTTTAAGTTTGGTGTGATCTATCAAAAATTCAAGCAGGTAAGAAACCCCAGGGTATTGTTATTTAGCACAAGTTGCTATAGGGACCGATTTCCGTAAGCAATTCAAGACAATAAGCACTTCTGAAAATGGGGCTCGAGGTTAATTTTGTTGTGTGAGATGTACTGCATTATGGTGTTTTCTTTCCTATAAAATGTTTCTTATTACTTGCAGATATTTCTTGCTTGTTAATAAATGATTGAAAAAATGAATATGCAAATCAAGCCCTGCAAATAAACTAACCTGAAACCACACTTTAGCAACCATGTATTTTTAATCAAATGTGTGTTTAGATAGTCAAGCACTTACATTTGTTTTGGAAGACTGTAGGCTATGAAGACATGTGTTCACTGAAAATGCTTTCATTAACCTAGGAGTTTAGGGTACAAAAGACAGACATAGATGAACCTTATAATTTAACAGAGATTATTCTGAGAGGCATTCTAATTATCTTTCTGCATTGCATCTTATTTTGTACAGAATAACTAATGCAAAGAACTTAATGAAGGTCTCTTTGTTTCAAAATATACCAATAGCAAGATGATTAAGATTCTGATTTTTTAATGAAGTATTAATTTGGATTTGGTATTAGCCATACTTTCTCCCAAGAGCTTTTTCAGTCCTTCCACAGTTGCCTGCAGGAACTTTTATTAAGACTTCATTGGAGCCTAGGCCTATTGTGCACTTTCCTATTGTAAATATTCCATATTGTTTGAATTGCCGCGCCATCTAGGAGACTCAGCCCGGGATAAGTGCCACAATGCGTTAAGCACTCTAGAGGCCAATTGCAAAGCGTTTGGTCCTTGCCTCAGACAACTTGTGTGCTAGGTATGGGACAGATGAACAGAGAGGCCAATGGAAAGAGACAGGGTTGGGAGGATGAAGTTACAACATAAATAGCATCCAATAGAAAAATGAAAGTCTCAGCCTGCTGCTTGCCAAATGGGAGTCATCTGTGGGCATCACAACAGAGGTGGGTGTAAGGAAAGGGGTAGATGAGGCTGAAAATGCAAAGGCAATATTTTAAATTGAAGGTTTCCAAAATCCCTCAGCAGGATCAAATGGAAACATCCCCTACTCATTTGTCTGAAACCGTGGTGCAGTAGTAATAGCACCATGTGGCAAAAAAAACAGCTGTCATGCTACATAACAGAGGTAGCTTCATTTTAGTGATGGGAAAGGCCGAGGAGGGATTGTAGAAATGTCTGATTGTCAATCACAATTTTCCACACACTTGAGTGGACTTCCCTTGGCCACCCCTGCAGTTGCCCTCTGTTGCCCACTTCCTAAATTACATAACTCTAGCCAAGAAGCTTTCATTATGATGAAGAAGTAGACCACACATACAGCACCAGTAAGCACTGTTGATGTGACTGATTGCTGGAAACAGGAGAGCCGGCTCTTTATGGGTTTTTTTTTTCTTTTCAGAAAGTGTAAGATGAATCGGAGTCCATAGGCACCCATCAGAGCTGACTGCTTGAATCAACCTGATGTGCAGGATGATTCATTTTTTTGACTTTGCTGCAGTAAGAAAGATGGAAACAATGTCAAAAAATCAACCTGCCATTTGGTTATTGACATTTCCCGTGTTTTTTATTTAGCATATTTATTTTCTGAGACAGGCGCCTAAAAATGTTTGTTCCGTTGGATTTGACAAAGGGATAAAAGATTATTCTGCCCTTGGGCAGCAGCATTTTTCATAGATACCCTTGGGCTGTATACCTCATTTTCAAGCCATTCTTCTTTAAGCTTCAAAGATGATCAAAGCTTGCCAAAAAAGATAGTTTGTGGGCCTTTCATGAGCAGTAAAATTCAAGTTTAATGATGTTACTAGCTCGAGTTCATGTTAGTTTTTCTTTTTTTAAGTTTCCATTCTTTCCTAGTTTGAATAGACAGTATCCTCTCTATACAGGGGCAGGGGCACCAGTACCTTTCTATTTAATCTCAAGCTACTGGGGGGGAATGTGAAACATGCATTTCCAAGGGTGACACTGGAGCTACCAAAAGTCATACCCACAGGCACTCCAGAGTCCAGAAGTCATGAAGATCATTACCGGTGCCAGGTTGTGAGCACTGTCACCCTCCTTTCCCACACCCCAACTTTGGGGCTGCTCAAATTCAAGGGGTATTATTTCAGGTCCCCAAACACTGATTTATGTCGACAGTCCAATGGAGCTAGATCAGAAGCAAGGAGACCAGTGTGAACAATAAAGGTCTGACCGCTGATATTTCAGACACTTTTTTGCTCTGTGCATCTTTCATTTTAACATGCCTTTAAAGTGTGGCTTCTGCATCTCAGGGTGAAAAAGCAGGCTGCGATTTGTTAAACATCACATATTGATGTATTTTGCAGACCTTAGAGGAAGAGTTGTTTGGAAACAATGAAGAGAGCCCAGCATTCAAGAACTTCTTGAGTTTGTTAGGCGATACCATAACCCTCCAGGACTTTAAAGGGTCAGTAAAAAAACATAAAAGAGACTGTTTTACAAATGAAGTTAACAAGAGATTACTTAAAGTGTAAAAATATTCACTGTGTGAAAGCAAGAGTCATTTTGTTGCTGGGCTGAGCTGTGTAAATGAGAAACAAATCTGGCTTTGGCTTGTTATTCCAAACCTGGGGAGTTACTCAATGGAACAGACCTGCCAAAAAAACTCCCAAGAATGTGTTTTTCTGTGGTTTTGAGACAATCTGGTTTATTTTCAGTCCTAAATAAAACAAACTCATATAGACACACGCCCAGAGCAGTCTCCTGGATATCGCCAGAATTTGTTCCAATGGTACTGATTCATGGCATCAGGTCCTCAGCACTGCTGGAACATTGCATAGGAGACACAAAGTACAGAAAAATCCCCTGGTAGTTGGAGCTGCAATAGCTTGTCAGGAGGGTGTATCTGGGGAAGGAGAATCCCACTGAGCTGCCTTGTAGAAATGCTGCTGAAGCTTCCCTGTTTAACCATGGCTTGTTGGGTGCAGATTTGTGCAAGCCTGAGCTTGCTTGGGAGGTCAAACTTTCCTAGTGGTCCACGATGAAGGTAGCATGAAGCCAGACCCTGCAAGCTCTCCTGTTGGTTGCAGTGGGAGGTGTTTGTGTGCTGAGGAATCGCAGGATGAGGCTTCTCATAGATGAGGTCCAGAAGTTTTTATTCTCTGAGGGCACAGATGAAATGAGGTTGGTGGGTCTCAGTCTATCTACTGGGGGTGGGTGGGGGCAGGTGTCTTCATTAAGTTACAAGAACTGAATTTTATTACTTCTCTGGCTGGGGTGTGAGGAAAAAGACTGAGGACTTGCTTAGCCCACGGGGTCTTAACCCAACCAAACTTTCAGCAGCTTTCACAAACAACCTTGAAATAATGTTGGTTTCTTTTAATTTCTGAAACCTTCTGATTCATTGTCTTGTGCCCTCTGCAATCACATTGTTTTGGGCTTCCAGATTCTGCTGATGATTAGAGATGGAAATGCTGTCTATAGGATTGAAATGTTCAGCTAGTTTGTGTGTGTCTTTAATATATGTGTGTATATAAGATGTGTGTGTGCGTGTGTATGGACTCAGTTGTTATATCTATATCTATAAATATCTAGATAGATATCTATATATCTATATCTAAAACATCTTTATATTAGCATCATTTTCATATATAAAAATATAGACAGACATATACATAGATATATATAGATATCTACATATATACATACACCTATATGTGTATATATAGGCATACACACACACACATACATACATATATACACATACACATACAGTGATTTCATTTCCTGCACCTTAGGCAACTGAAAATGTTGCTAATATATAACCTAACCCCAGCTGCCAATAATAATATTGAATACAAATATACAGATAAGAGTTCTGTCTTCTATTAACTAGCTACTCCTTATGGAGTTAGTTTTCTGTGTTATTGGGTAACTTGACAACCAGCTGTGGCTTTTAGTGAATATTCAGTTATCGTTGCTTCTGTTCTCATCAACATGTCTGTTTGTTTCTAGTTTCCGAGGAGGTTTGGATGTAACACATGGGCAGACGGGTGCTGAATCCGTGTACACTGTCTTCAGGGACAGAGAGATAATGTTTCATGTCTCTACAAAGCTGCCCTTTACTGAGGGAGATACACAGCAGGTAAGAGACTGCTGAATATGTTTTAGAGAGAAATCTTTAAAAAGATATAAAAGCTGAATGTTAGAATTGAATGTAAGTTTAAATTGGAACGGGCTAGGATATTTCTGTGCACCTGCAGTGATCCTGAAACATTTCACGAGTTCATCTCTGTTTTGCAGAAGTGTTTGAGTTTTGTTTAAAAAAAAAAAAATTAAAAAACCGAATTTGAAGAAGTCAAGATATTTGAAACAAAAAACCCATGGAAATTTCCTTTTATTTTATTGTACCAATATGAAGCCATTATACCCATCTAGCCACTTTATGGTGAGAAAGGGCAACTATTTTATATTGTTATAAGAATATAGCTGTACCCATGTTGCAGTTGCACTCAAACATAGCAATTTAAAAAAATGATAGCCCTATCTAAAAGAGTTATACTGAGGCATGCCAGTCCAAGCCTGTAGATTTGCAGCAACAGAGATGTAACAACAGTGGTCCTGTCATTTTTCATCCAGTGTAGATACAAAATGTTTCAATTTTGCATGGCCAAGTTTAGATTCCTAAATCAGTAAAAAACCACCCAAACAGAAGTGGCTTAATTTAAAGAGATATCAGGAACTCTTGGGACTCAGCAGCTGTGAAAATTAGGTAGTTTGTTATAGGTGCTTGACTATGGATTTAAGTAACTAGATCAATAGATTTTTAAGGCCAGAAAGAATTGTTTTGCTAATTTAGCCTGACCTTGATCACAGGCTGAAGAACTGCATCCAGTGTATTTCTTTATCCAGCCCAGAACTTCTGTCTAGTGTTAGCATATCTAGTTTATCCAGCCTAAAGAGTTCAGGGAACTAACCCTGCCTTTAGCTTTAATTTTGGATACTTAATCCAAAATGTTCAACTTTGGAAACTTAAGTAACTAATCATACCTAGTAATTATTTTTTTCTATTTGCTAAGTTTAAGTACCAAATATTCCCGTTCTCCATTCAGCTCCAGAGGAAGAGACACATTGGTAATGACATAGTGGCAATCATATTTCAAGAAGAAAACACTCCATTTGTCCCAGACATGATTGCTTCAAATTTCCTGCATGCATACATTGTGGTGCAGGTGGAAAACCCTGAAACAGATAACACATCCTATAAGGTAAGTGAATTCCAAAATTTAAGGGTGTTTATATACATGCTCCGGGGGGTGGGGGGGTGCGCTTTAATTAGAGAGGCTCCTAGAGCCGCTATAATTAAAGCAGCCAAAGTATCTTGTGTATTGGCGTCCCCATGCTGAAAAATGGCAGCGGGGGGCACTTTAACTAAAGCTCGCTAAATGAGCTCTAGTTAAAGTGCCCCGCCACCATTTTTCAGTGCAGGGATGCTGACACACATGACGCTGGAGTCTATCAGAGCGGTAATTACAGCACCTCTGAGCAGCCTTGCTGCGCATGTATATGTGTCCTAAGTGTTGAATGTCGCTTCCAAGGTCCTTCTGTGATCTGAAAATGAACGTATGGTGGTCACCCTTTAATGAGTTTGTGTTAACTTGGGTAAATAGATTAGGACTTCCCATCTTGTGAACACAATTCCATGTGTATAGTAATGCTTATTCAGAGAGAGACTATTCATTTTAATAAACTTAAGTATGTAAATTTTTGAAGGATCAAAGCCTTGTTCATCTCACAATAGACTTGATCCAAAGCCCACTGAAGTGACTAATATTTGTGTGTGTAATATACTACAAGTAAAAATTAGCTTATGCATATATAACATTAAATGTGATACTAAATGTACAAAATCTCTTCCATTTAATAGCATACTAATTAAATATATACAAAGAAAATATCAAGATAGTATATTGTTTTTTAAATATTTGCCTTAGGAGAGTGTATATATTGTATAACTGTTTGTATATAGTATTCAAACATACATATACAGTATTCAAACATGTATTTAGAATATATTCTTTCTGATTATTGTTCAGATTGATTATAAGGCATCATATGAAAACTTGAAAATAAATTTCTGGACCTCAGGAACAGAAACATTATTCATATAAAAGCAAACTGAAAGCTAAGACAAGTAACTCTAAAATTAATATAGTTTTAATAGGAATAATATGTTATTAGCTTTGGGAATGGGTATCGCTCTAAAGTGAGCTCTCTGATCTAGACTAACCTTTGTTTTAGCTTTTGGGTAAATATTTTTGCTTGTGAAGGTGATATGGTTGATAAAGGGACTGGCAAGATTTCTATCCACAGGACAGGGAAAACGTAAGGAGATGATTGTGAACATGCAGTCCTTACTAAAAGCACTGACCCACTAGCTGTAAATGTAATTAGAAGTCTCTTTGAGACAGCCCCTCTGTGGTGACACTAACCATCATGGGTGGGGTTGGCTTGGGAACTAAAGGGTATGTTGCAGCAAGGGAAGTTTAGGTTGGATACGAGGAAAAATGTTCTCACTAGGAGGGTAGTGAAACACTGGAACAAGCTACCCAGAGAGGTGGTGGAATCTCTGTTCTTGGAGGTTTTTAAGACCCGGCTAGACAAAGCCTGCCTGGGCTGAGATAGTTGGGGATGGTCCTGCTTTGAGCCGGGGGTTGGATTAGATGTGACCTCCTGAGGTCCCTTCCAAGCAACCCTGATTTTCTACAATTCTGTGCTCCTATGTTTCTGTGATCCTACCACCATCCTTAGCAATCCTGAGACTGGCCCAAACTACAAACCTTGCCCACTTGTTTTTATTCCACATGCACATCGTCGTGGAAAAATGGCCTGGGACTCCTTCTGGGGCAACCCCAGGGATGCTCTAAGGACCCCTGTCTTGGGCAGTACTAATGTAGTGGTGACCACACGGCATTTTTTTCCGTGGTATGTGGGCGGGGGCAGGAATGAGCGGGCTTGTTTTGCAGTGGCAGTCTTGGGATGGCTGCAGAGCTGGGATTGATGCATCCAAGGAGATCCACAGGGATCTGTCGGTCTGGCAGCCTCCTTGAAAAATCGCATTTTATATTCTTCACAACTAGTCCTGTTTCTTCAGATTACTTAACTGGACCTTGAGGTCCCATTTGATCTTGGTTGCGGATTGAGCTGAGGCTCCTTGAAATCGATGGCAGTCCTTCCATTGCCTTCGCTGGACTTTCGGTTGGCTCCTTACGGCGAACCTTGTTAAAACGCTGCTTGCAACCAGGACCGCTCATAAGCAAATCCTGAAAAGCCAGATAGGAGCCCGGTACCTACTGTGACAGGGCAGGCAGAAGAAATGAGAGCAGTTTCCATGGATTTCCTATGCAGCTGCTTTCCCGTGATGCTGTAGCCTAACAGTCACATGCCAGTTAACATAAAGGGGAATGAATGCCCTGCATGAGAGAGAAAGTGACTCTCTCTTCAAGCCATCTTACTGTTTGGGCCCTCGGGGGTTGAGTCTAAGTGTTGCTGCCATTCACATGCCCGTTCACATGCGCAGACTCCTGCCCTGCTCTGATGACTGTCAGGTCCTTTCATTTTTCTGCACGTGCTCCCAGATCGCAGTCAAAAGGTCAAAAGGACTCTCATTTATGCAGTAAGCTGCTTGTTCTTGCAGGCTTCACTCGACGTTCGTCAGCTTAGCAGATAATTTTCTTTGACTTTTAACCTTTCTGAGTGAAGTTTATTGGAACTTAAATAGATGGCTTAGGACAGAAGCCAGGCGCACACAATAAATCATTGCAATGGAAAGATAACTCCATGGCGCTAGGTCTAACAGGCATGCTCTGTGGCACTGCCTGCAGTGCTGGAAGAGAAAAGCAGGATTTATTATATTCTCTACTTTCTCTTTTCCCCTTTGCTCCAAAGAGCCCTTCCCATTTAGCTCCGAATTCCAACTGAAATTTCCCTGCGTCTGCTTTTCTGCCTGGTTTAACCGTCCTAGCCTGTTAGCCGATTGCCAAAGCATCAGCTGGAGGCCCATGGATTAAAGGGTAGGCAGTGTATTGACCAAGCAATGTCAACTGACTTGTCAGATAAAGAGCTAAAATTATCAGCCAGCTTGGTACACCAGCCTGTTCACCCGCGCTGAGGGTACAGCGTGTGCTGCTGGGGATTGGGAACCAAGGCACTACAAGTTGTGTTGGAGTGCCCTGGGCACGTGAACGGGAATGGGGGTCTGCGACAGAGCAGATCTGCGAGGTAATGAGCCACACGTCGTGGAAACACGATTGGTATTGGTTGTACTGTGAGAGTGCCTCCAGGATCCAGTTAGAGAACAGGGCTGTAGACATGCGCCGTCTAATAATAATGTGAGAGAATAGGTGGATGCAACAAATTGAATGGTAGAAGTGCACGGCTTCAGTGGGGTGATTGTGATGGATGCAGTTATCAGCAGTTATAACATGCTGGACAATTGAGGGTCAGCTCTGAGGTGACACACTTGCAGGTTTTGTTCCACTCCTGGCTGATGTGGATGGACCCCTAAGGGAAGTCAGGGATGGAGTTGGGTACGTGTTTTGTGCTCGGGTGAGGAAAAGAATTGAAAGAACTATGTAGATTGTACCTGCCTGCAGAGCAATGGAGGCGCTCCCAAATGCTTCCTGCTGTTCAATCTCAGTTGTCGTTGCAAGCCGTGTTAAATCTGAGAATTGACACTTGACTCCCGATGCTTAGGGAAAAGTGTCATTGTCATCATTGTCGTCCTCTTCCTCGTGCAAGACCTGGAGCCCCCAGTTGAGATTCAGAGTGATATTATTTGCTGTACCTACCCATAAAGTAGGAGAGAGCTCCAGTCCCAGGGATGTTAGTCTAAACACATAAGGAAAAAAAGGATAATGGGGAAAAAGAGGGGCAGAAGGCTCGAGTGACTTGCCCAAAGTCACCCAGCAGGTCTGTGAACGAGCGGGGAGTCCCAGCCTAGTGCCCCACACACCCCATCACTGTGCTTTTCTTTATCAGGCCATACAAGCAAGTTTGGCTACAAATGGGCAGTGCAGATAATAAGTATATACTATTTCCAGTAGGAATCTTGTTAATAACCTTGCTGGGCTTGCTACCGAGTTCTCAAAAAGAAGTACGTGCTCTGGACATTTTGATGCCATTGTTGCTGAACCTTGGCACTCAGATAACTAATATTTTCTTTTTGGTTTTCCTAGGTGTCTGTCACTGCCCGGGAAGATGTCCCTTCCTTCGGTCCTCCTTTGCCAAGCCCCCCAGTATTTCAAAGAGTAAGACATGCAAGAGAAAGTGCAATTATTTTGTTTGAAAATGGCCCCGCCTGCATGAAATGTGGCAGGCTATATGTTTGTAAGGCCTGGTGTCAGTTGGGGTAGATCCACAGGTTTTGGCTGGTGTGTGGTTAACTGTTACCCTCTAAGATACTGAAGCAAATCCTAATTTGGTTGCTACAGTGAATTTTGTGGGAGGTTCTTCTTCTAGTGGAGACGGCCACGTCACCTAACATAATTCAGCCTGATGAGCTGTCTGTCTGGGAGGGAATGGCAAACTATGGAGGGTGAATTGCACTGAGAGTGAAGGCAGGTGCATTGGCAGAGCCACCTGGGACACCTTGAACCAGTCTGTGCCCTCGCTGACTGACTCAAGTCCGTACTACTTAACCTTTGCTCTAGTCATTGCTACTTAAACTTTACCGGAACGAGAAATAAATTTACCCGCAAATATTTTTCAGAGAACCAATAACCTTAGGTCAGGGCTTATCATGCTTTTTAGACTCAAGGTACCCCTCAGAAAAGATCAGCTCTTAATTATCATTTGCTTTTTGACTATGGAACAATAAAAGAGCAATTTTTCTGTTGCAAAGAATTCAGAAAGACCACAGCAGGTCAAAAAAAAGAATTAACACTCTGGATTCCCACTGGAAATCTCCAGCTTTATCTTGTCAATCTTGCTTATATAACTAACAGTACTAATACTGCGTGGCCCTCTTGAAAGGATCTTAAGGCATGCCAAGGTGCCACAGCACCCTGATTGAGAATCACTGCTTTACATGCACCGCATACTCAATTTCCTAATTAAACATTAAACCCACACCACAGCTGCTGTTTTATAGTCATAACATCAGAGGTAGGTAAAGGACTTTGTTACAGAAACAAATGTTTTAATTGAAGAACTTTCCATACAGAGACAGTGGGGAAAATGATGGTGACAAAAATGGTGAGGAGAGGCTGAGGGAACTGGGCTTATTTAATCTCAAGAAGAGGAGAGTGAGGGGGGGATTTAACAGCAGCCTTCAGCTCCCTGCAGGAGGATTCGAACGAGGATGGAGCTGGCCTGTTTTCAGTGGTGGCAGACAACAGAACAAGGAGCAACCATCTCAAGTTGCAGCAAGGGAAGTTTAGGTTGAATATTAGGAAGAATTTTCTCATTAGGACGGTAGTAAAACACTGGAACAGGTTACCCAGAGAGGTGGTGGACTCTCCATCCTTGGGGTTTTCAAAACCTAGCTAGACAAAGCCTTGGCTGGGATCATTTAGTTGGGGACAGTCCTGCTTTGAGCAGGGGGTTGGATTAGATGTGACCTCCTGAGATCCCTTCCAACCCTACCTTTCTATGGTTCTATGAAAATCTCTATTGAGTTGACCTTTTTCTTTCTTTCTCTTTCTTTCTTTCTTTCTTTCTATCTATCTATATTTATATATATATATGCTGATACTCCATTGAGGGTGAAGCTCACACCTGCTTAGAGGATTTGTATAAGAGCTGAGCATCACTTAAGTCCTCCGTTTAGGGTTTAAATTGGGTTTAAGTGAATCTTGTGCCAGTCCCTTGCACAGAAGTGAATTTCACCTCAACTGCACCTACTTTGCCCACAAAATGAACAGCTCTGGTGATTCAGTAAGTGTTGCGCTCTTCTCTTTGAGTCATGAATGAGTTGATGCATAGCATAGTATCAGTGGGTGTCACACTGCCAGAGGCACAATCTTTCTGATGCGACTCAAAGCCAAAGTTGTGACTCTTTCAACCTTGAGGTCCTCCAGTTGTGGCAATTACTGCGTGTGTGATTACCATGAACAGCCTGGGCTGGATGATTAGAGAACCTCATCCCCACCGTGTCCGCACTCCAGCTGGACAGAACACTGGTTTGGTTACGTCTCCTGATGGACTAGAATAAAAAAAGCTAAGCGGTAGATGGGTTATTTACTATTAATGCACAAATGTGCAAGTCTTATTGCGGGATGGTTAGACATGTATTTGTTAGTTTGTAAGATAATAGAAGGTTTAGCTCCCTAAGAGTATTAAAAAGTCTTTTACCAACCTGGCTTTATGTGTTTTCTCCTAGAACCCAGAATTTAGGGAGTTCCTGCTTACCAAACTCATCAATGCTGAAAATGCATGCTGCAAATCGGACAAGTTTGCAAAGCTGGAGGTATTTCTCTTTCCACTTTCTTCCTGCTCCCCCTCCCATGACCATGACAATTGCCATCACCATCATTGTCTTCTTTTTTGGGCTAGGCACAAGGGCAGGATATGGGTCAGAGGAACTGGTGCATGAACCAGGAATCAGGTGTTGTCTTGGATTGCCATTTCTAGGTCAAAATTGACACTGGGGCAGCGAGACCTCATTCCTTATCTAATACCTCCTTCGTTAAGAACACCATTGAAATTGACCTCCTGCAGGGGTGCGGCCACTGGTGCGGGGGATGCTGGGAGCATATCCCTAAAGGTTTTATTTCTCACTGCTGAATGCTCCAGACCTCATATGTTCACGAGCCCATCCCTTGCCCAACATCCCTTATTCTCTGTGCCTGTTCAGGGAAGTATGCCTCCCACCCTGACCCCAAAAGCGCTGTTACTATTTTGGAGTTTCATTTGATACCACAGAGTCTGGGTGACTATAACAGCTACTTCTTCAAACTCTGTCTGGAAGGCAGAGGAGGCACTTTGCTACTTTACAGCAGCCTATGAATGTCCTTGGAATATATTTCACATGGGATGTCTGCGCTGCAGACTTCTGTTAGGCTGTAAACCCTGTTGGGCTTATAAGTGGGTTAGCATGCCAAAGAAAGAACCATCACAGTATTTAAGTGTCCTTGTCTATCTGTCATAGCTACCTTCATGCTGTCTTGTGATAATTCCTTGAATGGCATGTTTGGTGTGATTCCTTCTCGCCCCGTGGAGCCCTTAGGTTGGACTGTTGCACCCAGGTTTTGTTTTTTCCCTCATTCATTTTTATCACAGGATGCCAAGCCAACCCACAGGCAAACAACAGAGACTCTTTATTCTTTATTCTTCAGGACCGGACACGAGCTGCGTTGCTGGACAACCTTCATGATGAGCTGCATGCTCACACGCAAGCAATGCTTGGACTGGGGCCTGAAGAGGATAAATTTGAGAATGGAGGCCATGGAGGTTTCTTGGAGTCATTCAAGGTAAATTAAAGCACCAGAACTTCAAATACAAGTACCCCTTCTCCACCCACCGACCCCCACTGATCTAACGAGTTGTTTTGTGGCAAAAGGCTTCTGCTTCAAAGCAGGGTTGAGGGGGCTGTGTAGAAGGGCTTACAGAAAATGTTTGCACCTGGCAAAGCTCTTTAATCTTGATGTCAATGTCAGTGCTCACATGCTTGGTTGTTTGGCTGGACTGGGGCCCGTTGTAGAGATCCCTTCCTCCGGGCATTTGATCACATTTTCACCTGTCACTGCACAATGCTGTTCATACCCTCTTGAAACCATGTATATTGTATTCAGCGAGAAAACCGAGGCTTTGATCACAAAGGCTTGTTATGATTTGATTTAGCTGTAGAAGTAGTCTGGTCGGTGGCTCTCTGATCTCCTTAGGTCCTTTGTCAGTGGATCTTTTCATGGCATTAAACTGAGTCCCGGGCCTTGCCAGGGAGCCATATCTCTATACAGAGCTGGCTGTTGGTTGTCTGTGCAGAGGGAGATGTTTCCTCAGGTGGGTGAGGAAGAGCAGAGGCTTGACAATAGGATGAAGAAGCAGTTGCACTTTTTTTTTAAATACAGAAAACAAAATGAGAGAATGATAGATTGGGAGAGAAGAACGGGAAAGAGATTTGAGATTCTGGGGTGATGAGTATAGTGTCATGCCTACCAGGATAGAGGCATGGACAAGGGGGAAAAGAAAAAGGAGAAGAAAAAGCCAAAGGA